GTATTGCCCGCACACGAGCGCAATATTTTCGTCATCCTTCTCTTTAATAATCAGACAAGCGAGAAAATGTTGCGCATCCTACGCGGCGCTAGAAGCGTAATATCTTTCACAAACAAATGCGTCTCATTCGCGCACACTGCAAATTTGAGATGCAAAATCGTCAGCAACCTCTCTTTAGCGTAATCAGAAATGTTAAGAATTGAATTTTCAAGCTTTTTTTTCAAGTATTGCTGTAACACCGTCCTAGTCGATGCACCCTTTCACCCTCGTACGCAAAAACAACAGAAATATTGCCAACAGGGGCGCACATGTTAAATTGTAAAGCACTGAGCATAAATGCTGTAAACGGTATGGTTGCTTAGCATTGTCATTAGCACTGCTGACCCGACCTGATTTTATCTTAATTATTTTTATAATAACTAGTGCTCCGCTAAAGAGCGTCGCGCAGTATGAAAATATTTTTTGCCGCCTGCTGAAGGTCGACGCTTCGATTGGGCCAGTAAGAAAATCATTGGCGACGCGCACCGGGCTGTCATACGTTTTTGCATTATTTCGTGCTGAAATGAGATTGCTCAGAAACCCAGTGGGCAGAAATGTATCATATATCGGTCTTCGAAGTCAGGGAGCTAATAGTGTAAGCAGTATTTGGGCAGGGAGCACTCCTTTCAAATTACAGCGTTCCGGATTTTCTGGTTCTTGACTTAGCAATTTTCCTGCCAAAAATTTTTACGAGGCAGTATGTGAGTACCACACACGCTGAATGGCTGAATTTGATAGCTGTAACTTGTGATTCTGCTGAAAACATCCCCTGAAAACCTCAGCCTCCCAGCTTTCCTAATTCCAGAGTTAACCGTTTACCCGCCAAAAATTTTCACTAGGCTGTGCGCGACAACTACGCATAAACGGGGGTTGAATTTGGCAGTTTAAGCTGTACTTGTGCTAGAAACATTCTCTGAAAATTTTAGCCTTCAAGCTTTCCTGGTCCCCAAGTTACCGATTCCCCCGCCAGGAAGGCCATGAGCGGGAACCCTTTCACTCTCTAAATTTTCGGGCAATTTTGCAGTTATTAATGATTTTTTTGTTGCTGTTGCAGCATACGTTGGATCACCCACTCTGTTACGATATGGTAGCAATTCATCCGAAAAAGGCCTTAATTGAGCATCGCAGCGGTCCCGTGTATGAAATTCTTGGTTATCTGGAACAGCTCGGCATGTCCGGCACCATTGAGCAGTTCTTCACCACAGAAACTAAAATTGAAAGTTTGTCCATAACACGCTACATATCGCTATGTTATGCAGATGTCCAACTTGAAGAGAATAC